TCTTTACTGCCGGAGCTCCACTCCTGTGCGCTCCTGCAGGAAATGACCCCTGTGAACACATGAAGCTGCCTTCTACTGAGTCAGATTATTGGTCCACCCAGGTCAGTCTTGTCTGCTCAGGCTGGCAGTCTGGCTCTCCGGGGTTTTATGCAGAGGTTGCCCCATCCCCTCCTGCCAGGTCCTTTCAATTGGAAATGCTTGGGGTGGAACCTGGGACCTTCTGCGTGCCAAGCAGATGCTCGCCCACTGAACCACGGCCCCTCCCACAAGACTTTTTTTGTCCCAAATGCAGAGAAGCTTCGCGTTTTGAATTGAATTTTGAGTTCAGAATTGAACATTTTGACCCATTATTAGATGAAGGTTTTAATCCAGTCAGTGATCCCTTTTCAACGGGGCGCATTAAATCCCCTGTTTTGTGTGTGGAACAAAAGAAGAAGAAGAAGAGGAGGAGGAGGAGGAGGAGGAGATTGAATTTATACCCCACCCTTTACTACCCAAAGGAGTCCAAGAGCGGCTTACAAACTCCTTTCCCTTCCCCTCCCCACAGGTGGGGCTGAGAGAGCTCTTCACAGAAACTGCTCTTTTTCAAGGACAGCTGTGCCAGAACCATGGCTTGCCCAAGGTCACACCAGCAGCTGCATGTGGATGAGTGGGGAATCAAACCTGGTTCTCCCAGATTAGAGTCCGCACACTTAACCAGTACACCAAACTGGCTGTAACCAAGAGGTAACAATCAGGAAGAAAAGCATTTGGGGGAATTCTGGGATGGTAGTGGGACTAGTTCCCCTCTTCACCAATATTCTCCAATGATCTGTCTGGCAGCAACCCTTTAGAAAGTAATTTCTCAAAGTTTTAGCGATTGTGAATGTGCTTTTGCTACACTCGGGGACACCGTGTACGTTCTGAGGCGACATATAGCTTGGCTGTTCTGCTGTCTTAAGGCATTAATGGGCAAGCCAGGAATTAATCTCTGGGAAAGCTGTGCAGTCCCTGAGCTTGTCTAATCAAGCTCTGGGAAGCTTCTCAATCCAACAGTTCATGCAAAAGTTTTTATAATTTTTTTGTTACTGTCCTCAGTCTGCATTTCCTTGATATTTTAGCTTGCAATGAGCAAAATATCAATCCAAGTTGCACCTCAAAACCCTTAATGTGAAATCCAGAGATCCTTGGGTTTGTGTGTGTGTGGCCGTACACAAAATAAGTTCTAAAAGGAGGCAGGTCTGAGTTCAAGATGTTGGAGAAACTTTTTATTGTTTTAAATTTCGACTCAAGGGGGTTGGGCCCAGCATCCCACATGAAACTGCTTTATATTGAATCAGTAGAGTCAGTTTGGTGTAGTGGTTAAGCGCGGCAGATTCCCCACTCCTCCTCCTCCTCCACATGAAACCAGCTGGGTGACCTTGGATCAGTCACAGTTCTCTCAGCCCGAGAAAACAAGCCCAGCTTTCCACAAAAAGAGCTAGAGTTTCAGGCTGCCAGCAATGTTCCCTCTAAGCTGTGGAGTCTTGTGAGCAAAAATTCTGCTTTGTGAGCTACTGGCATTAAAGCTGTGAGCGAGCAGTTTGGCTTCTGCAGAAATCAGTTTGCTCTGGAGCCCTCCTTCCTGAGCTAAGGCAAAAATGCATGAGCTGGAGGCTAAAAAACTGTGAGCCAGCTCACACCAACTCAGCTTAGAGGGAACACTGGCTGCCGGACAATCTTTGGACCTCCTGGCCATATCACACCCATAATTAATTAATGAGTTAATATTGAATCAGACCATTATAATCTGACTGGCAGGAGCTCTGCCGAAGCTCAGGTGGAAATCCTTCACTTCGGCTACTGCCTGGTCCTTTTTTTTTTTTTTTAAGTGGCGATGCCGGGGATTGAACTTGGGACCTTCTGCATGCCAAGCAGGTGCTCTGCCACTGTGGCCCCTCCCAGATGCTGGAGGAGCAGATGAAATCTTGACTTGAGCCTCCAGAATACCATCCTCGCTAAGGAAGGGGCAAGCCAGCTTCTTCCTACTAGAATTTGCAGTTCATGCACATGAAGGGGAGGTTCAGGGAGTTGGCTTGTCTTAACTTTCCATCGTAGGCTACGGGACACAAGGATGACCCGAGAAGCCCCTTCGGAGAAGGGGGAATGTAATGTATTCAATAGCTGCCATTGAATGCATAACTGTATGTGAACAACATAGTTGAAATCCTATGTTAAGCTTCGTCCTGGGCTAGGATCCTAATACATCCAATCACATTGCTAGCCCAGGAAGAACCTAACGAATCACTTCTCAGCAAGCTCCCTGAGCGAGAACGTCCATGATTGGTCCTTATGCATACAGCCTTATTGGTTGGTAAATGTACAGTAGGCGTGGCTACATTAGCCGGGAGAGTTTAAAAGCAGGACAGCTGCCATGTAAAAGCTGTTCTGGCTATCAGAGGTTGATCCGTGTTGGAGTGGTGTTTGAGTTGCTGAATAAAGCTGAATCTTTGCTGAATCACTCTCCGACTTAACAGGGAAGAACCGGAACATAGGTGTAGTGGTTAAGTGCACCAAGTCTAATCTGGGAGAACCGGGTTTGATTCCCCACTCCTCCACTTGCAACTGCTGGTGTGACCTTGGGTCAGTCACAACAAGCTCTGGCACAGCTGTTCCTGAAAGAGCAGTTTGTGTCAGAGTTCTCTCAGCCCCACCCACCTCACAGGGTGTCTGTTGTGGGGAGGGGAAGGGAAAGGAGTTTGTAAGCTGCTCTGAGACTCCAAGTGAAGGGCGGGGATCTCTTCTTCTTCTTCTTCTTCTTCTTCTTCTTCTTCTTCTTCTTCTTCTTCTTCTTCTTCTTCTTCTTCTTCTTCTTCTTCTTTGTTTTGCTTCCATTTCTTTTTTAATTTGAAAAAGGGCGCCTTGCACACGAAAGCTCAGATTTCGAATAAACCGTTGTTGGTCTTAAAGGGGCCCTTGGACTCTAAATTTGTTCAACTGACGGGAACGTTATGTCTCTCCAGCCCCGCCGTACATGCAGGTGACCATTGAAGATGTGCTGGTTCGGTGTGGGGAGATGGCAAAGTTCGAGGCCATTATCGAAGGGAATCCCCAGCCAACCGTTGCTTGGTTTAAGGTAAGGAGAAGACTTTCCCAAAGCCGAGTTGTAAATACAGGGATTGTTGTGTGCCTTCGAGTCGCGGCCGATTAAGGTTGACCCCAGGGCCATGGAGTTTTCAGGGCAAGAGAGGAGCAGAGGTGGTTTTGCCGTTGCCTGCCTCTGCATAGCAACCCCGGTCTTCCTTGGTGGTCCCCCACCCAAGGACTAACCATGGCTGACGCCGCTTGGCATCTAAGTCCCGATGAGATTGAGCTAGGGTGGGCTTTCAGAGAAGGAAAAGGACTGGCAAAATGAATGTTGGAGAGAGGAGTTATCCCATGTATTCCTTTGTACGGTTTCCTTTATGAATTAATGGGTCGCCCAATGCTGTTCCATGAATGTAGAGGAAAGAAATGGGCCTGAAATAACAGTGAATATTTCAAGAATGTACAAATCGTTAAGCTAGAAGGAGATGTATTCGAAACAGGAGGGTCATATAACCAGAAGAATAGGTTCTTTTGAACTATGGTGCTGGAGAAGACTCTTGAGAGTCCCTTGGACTGCAAGAAGATCAAATCAGTCAATCCTAAAAGAAATCAACCCTGACTGCTCCCTGGAAGGCCAGATAATGAAACTGAAGCTCAAATACTTTGGCCACCAAATGAGAAGGGAGCACTCACTGGAGAAGACCCTGATGCTGGGAAAGATTGAAGGTCAAAGAAGACGGGTACGGCAAAGGATGAGATGGTTAGACAGTGTCATAGATGCAACGAACATGAAATTGAGCCAACTTCAGAGGACGGCGGAAGACCGGAAGGCCTGGCGTGATCTGGTCCATGGGGTCGCAAAGAGTCGGACTTGATTGTGCGACTGAACAACAACAACAATAAGCAGAATATGAGCTTAGGCTCAACTTCAGACCACACCAGGGGCAATCTCAAGGGCTGTAGGATGTCGTGGTTACACTAGTAACATAAGAGTAGGGTTGCCAGGCAACAGGTGGGGGGTGGGGGGGACTTAACGAGAGCAGCAAGGGTGCCCAGCCAACATGCAGAAACATGCCTACGTCAGTGTCTGGCCACATGACTCAGAAGTAACGTCATCATGTCAGGGACGTCTTGGTGACATTCTGGTATATGGGCAAAAACTCTATGGTAAATTTGGCTTTTACCATAGAGCCTTTGCCCAAATATCAGAGTGCTGCCCCGACCTCCCAGTTGTGATGACCTCACTTCCGGATCACATGGGCAGTGACATAGACACGTTGGCTGGCTCTCCCTCTTTTTTGGGGTAGGTTCCCCTCACCCGCCACCTGCCACCTGATTGGTGGTGGGGCCTGGCAGTGGGGGGACAGTGTTCCCTCTAAGCTGAGTTAGTGTGAGCTAGCTCACAGTTTTTTAGCCTCCAGCTCACAGTTTTTTGTCTTAGCTCAGGAAGGAGGGCTCCAGAGCAGGCTAATTTATGCAGGAGCCCAATCGCTCGCTCACAGCTTTAATGCCAGTAGCTCACCAAGTAGAATTTCTGCTCACAAGACTCCACAGCTTAGAGGGAGCATTGGTGGGGGATCCCCGCCTTCACCAGGAGGTCTGGCAACCCTACATAAGAATATAAGAAGAACCTGCTGGATCAGACCACTGGTCTGCCCAGTCCTGCATCCTGTCTCACACAGCAGTGAACCAGCTGCCCTGAAGGGTCAAGGAAATTGGGCATAGAGGCCTGCTGCTGCTTCCCAGAACTGCTATTTGGAGGTTTGCTGCCTCTGCATATGGAGGCTCACTGTAATGATTCCAGTTTTGGTGTGTGTGTGTGTTTTTAAATGTTTAGTGTGACTGCAGTAATGAAAGGAGAGTGATAGAGGGAGACAAGTGTGATGTGATTGGCTGATGACAGAGAATATGTGGGAGGAGGGGTGATTCTGTGTGTGAAGTCTGAAAAGAGAGCATAGTCTGTGTGACTAGGGGAGTTTTTGAATCTATTCTGTGCGAATAAGACAAAGAGTTCAGCCTGTGTGGTTATATATATGAGATAGAGAAATTAGACTGTCTACTTTTTGGGGAGTGTGAGAGACTGTTTGTGACACCAAGCTTTGCCAGTTATATTTACAAGTTCCGTATATCAGCAACAATGCAAAATAACCAGAAACCTTTTTTGTTCTTTATTAAATAAATGGTTTTTTGTTTAAACGTATCCCAGAAATCAGAATAGTCCTTCCTCAGGGCCACATAGTCCTCTGAAGTGCCCAGACCCTAGGTCATGCTACCAAAAGAGAGATATTTGGAATTTTTAAATCCTGGTGGCAGCAGAAATCTACCAAGTTTAGGTACACAGAGAGCGTTTTAAAGGTAAAACCGTCTCCCCAATAAGTGAGGATGCCACACTCACTTTAGCCAGTTTGAGTGTTTTGGGGGAAAGGCAAGTTCCCAATCCCTATGTCTGCTCTAAGGTACTTCTGGACTCGAATCTAAATAATATTGGTTGAACCTTCTCTGCCTCTCACCGTGGCTTTTCCTTCTTCCAGGGGATTTCCTTATTGGCGGACAGCGAAAAAGTCGGTCAGTTCAGTGAAGGCACAAGATACTCTTTAATCCTGTACAATACCAGGTCTGAAGACGGAGGGGTCTACACGTGCATAGCTAAAAATGCAGGAGGAGAGGTCTTATGCAAAGCCGAATTGGTGGTGCAAGAAGGTAAGTCGGATAGCTTCCATGGGGCCCGCCGATGCCTTTCCTGGAACCTGACAAGTGTTTTTAGAAAGTGAGTAGGACCGGGTGGAGCTTCTGCCCAGCAAGGCTACCGATTGGCCATTGGAGATTTGATTGGCTGTGCAGATTTTTTAAAATGTTGCTTTGGTAGCAGCTGCCACCACAACATAAGAAAATAAGAGAAGCCAAATGTTGGATCAGGCCAAAGGCCCATCCAGTCCAACACTCTGTGTCAAACAGTGGCCAAAAATACCAGAGGCCATCAGGAGGTCCAGCAGTGGGGCCAGTACACTAGAAGCCCTCCCACTGTTGCCCCCCCCCAAGTACCAAGAATACAGTGTATCACCTGCCCCAGCCTGTGAGTTCCTATCTATACCTTGTGGTTAATATCCACTGAGGGACCTCTGCTCCAGATGTTTGT